GTGGGGGGAGGGCAGGGGAGGGCGGAGGAGCGCAGTTCATGTTGTGGAGGCTGCCGGCAGTGGGTAGTAAGATCAGCTAAGTACAAGTCTCTATGGGGGAAAATGAAGTCTGGCTCTTTAAGAGTGAATTCTCCCTTTCTTTACTCAGCCCTGATCTGTTGTTACCCAGGTCAATAGACTAGTTATGGACTGGACACACTCACAGACCATGACACCCACTCCCCCAGGCACGGATCCTAGCCAGAATTTAGAGGGTCTTAAGTCAGCATTTCTAGGGTTAACACTAAATCCTTCCTATTCCCATTTCTGTTTTGGGAGTTAAACATTCTCCCCAATAAGACTGCTCTTCTGGGTGAAGGTTGGTTAGCCATGAATCCCTGGGAGGCCTTTAGGGAGTTACCAGGGAGGGGTCAGTGGCATCTTCAGTTAGTCTAGCAGGTGGCCGTGTATGCTTGTGTCCTGGTGAGGAAACACAGATCCAGAGAACGGGAAAACACAAACTCAGTCCCCATCCCATCTCAAGCATTGCCAAGCAGCTGCTAGCAACTCTGCTAAAAATATCTGCCCCTGGCCTGGCCCTGGCTCTGGCCCTGGCCGTTCTCCTGCTGAGCTGGAGGCTGTCCAGAGTGTTGGAGACCCAGGCTGATAGTGTGGGGCTTCAGTAGGAGCCAGCTCCTTTATGTTCCTCAAGTTCTCTGGTCCTTAGCCCCAGGCTGGGCCTGCTGTGCAGTGCACATCCCTCATAAGAGGGGCATAAATGCAGGATGTGGGTAAGAGGTGGGGAGGGTCTCAGCCACCATGTCCCAGGGCCTCTGCTCTGTTCTAAGACTCCATTCATTCATTTCAATGATCTGTACTGAGTACCTGTGTGCTAGACCCTTTTGCTAAGGACAGGATGACAGGTAAAAATAGATGTAATGCTACCACTGCCCCAGAACTCACCTTTCTCAGACATAGGGTAAAGATTGGCATGGGTGGGGGTGGGGTGAGGGGGATGCTCAGAGGACAGGAGAGGTGATAAGGAAGACTGGGTATCTAGTCCTGGCTTTGCCTTTCTCCTAACCTCAAGGTGCCCAACCACAAATTGGATATCTTGACCTACTTCCCTCATGCTCATCTTCAGGGTGGGGATGGGGGCAGTGTACAGGCTGTGACATATTTTGGGATAGGGACTTGATCTCAGGTGTTTGATTGTGATGAGTGTGGCTGGGGTGGAAGGGCACCCATTTGGGGCTCAGGTGACATCATAGATGGATGGACCCTAGTGGGCTGTAGCAGGTTGTCATGGAGACCTGGGCCAGACTTTGTGGCTACTGCAGTCAGTCTCCTTGGCAACACCTAAGAAGGCCTTGAATTGAGAAGCCTGGCTAGTGGGTAAGGTTAGGGAGTTTATGATGCAGGACTCTCTAGCTCTTCAGGTCTTCAAAATATGCAAGAGCTGAGCTGAGGGGGCTGTTCATACATGCTTCGCATGAGGGAGGGAATCTTGGAGGCCTGGGTAAACTGTGCAGGCTTTGGTTTCTTGGATAAGGTTCAGTAGGAAGAGGGAATGAGGGGCCCCAGTCTCCCCTTATAGAAGTCTCTAGAATCAGCACACCACTTCCCATCAGGAATCTTGGCTGGCTGTTTATGACCTTCCTCCTGGAAACAGACAGACAGACGGACACCCATCCACCCCATGTGACTGAAGAGAACACTTAGATGTCCAGGAGAGTGCCAGACAGAGGATGGGTGTAGAGTACTTGTGGACCTTCCCAGCAGGGGCCATACAGGGAAGCAGCTGGCTTTCCCCTCTGGTAATCTGAGCTTTTGACCTCAGCAGTGTATCTCCACTGCCAAGGGAACGACATCCACACAGAACCACTCAGACCCCAGGCATTCTGATGGCTATCACAACAAGCCAGAAATGATCATCACAAGCCTAGGTACAGCCAGGAGCCTCAATAGCCAATATCAGGACATGACCTTGAGATCACTCTCTGCTCTGTTCCCACTACCTGGTCCTCCCCGTTCTCTCGGCTGAACCTGGCTGCCCAGAAGGAACAAACTGAGGTTGGAATCAGCTCTAAAACTCTCTGTCCCTTGTTAGCAGTTTCATCTCTGTCCATCTGTCCTGCATGAGCCTCAGTTTCCTCCTGTGTAGATCAAGGATACTGTCTCCCTGGGGGTGTCTGAGACAGCAATAGCATGAATACACTGGCTCAAGAGTGGCACATGGAACCATCTTAGCAGCACACTTCAAGTCCCATCATCTTTGGTTGGATGGGAGCATATTAAATGAATCCATGGACTGTGTCTTGATTCATCTTTCCAGGATGATGGCATCCTGAAGAAGGTTAGAGATCCCAGGAACGCAGATGACTCTCCAATCAGCTATACCCAACTCTTTTCTGTGGGACTCCACATCCTCCCCTCTCTCTCAGGTGACTAAATGCTGAAAAGAGATCTTGGCTGGTTTGATGGTTAATCTTTATTATCAACTTGACCGGATTTAGACTCCCCATGGAAACCTCTAGGTGTGTCTGGGAGGGTGTTTTCAGAAAGGCTGTAACTGAAGAGAGAAGATCCACCCTGAATGTGGGTAGCATCATTCCATGGACTGGGGTCCAAGGCTATAGAGAAAGTGAGTGGAGCACCAGCATTCATCGGTCTCACCTTCCTGACTGGATGCAATGTGATCAACTGCCTCACACTCCTGCCACCGTGCCTTCCCCACCGTAATGGAACATACCTATCTTCTCATGTAAACCAAAATAATCCCTTCCTTCCCTAAGTCACTTCTTGTCATATATTTTGTCACACTAATAGCTGGGTTTCAGCATCCCCACCCTCCTCACACCACAGTCCTCATACCCCAGGGCCTCTGTGCTATTCTGAGATTCATTTCACTGACCTGTGCTAAGTACCCATGTGCCAGACCCTTTTGCCAAGGGTAGGGTGATGGATGAAAACAGATGTAGCTGGGTACCTTCACATCTGTCATCTAATCCCTGAGGCAATCTCATTTAGCTGTCATTTGTTATTCCCATTGTGTAGATACAGTAACAGAGGCCTGAGGGATCATAAGCCAGAAATAGCAGAGGCAGGTATGTGGTGGAAGGTTTCAGAGAAACTTTATCCCCTACTCCTCCTTCCCTAACTACTATGCCTTCACAGAGCAGTTGAGGTTCCAGAATGTTCCTTGGGTACTGGCCCAGGATTCACAGGTGGTGTCCTACAGGCAGCCAGGCATAGATGAGTCAAGACTGTTAAAAGGATTGAAATGCCCAACAGCTTGGTGTCCCTCACTCATGGTGGCCTGGCTACCAGAAAAGGCAACAGAATGACTCAGCAACACCCGCTTTTCCTGTGACCCCCTCAGTTCCAGCAAAACACAGATACCATGGCCACCTTAGACAAATGGGGCCTGTTGGGCAGAGGTTCCCATGTGGTGAGGCCTTGGGAAGGATTTTTGGGCCTAATCACCCTGGTGGGCCACCCTGTCTCTTTGAAACATTCAGCTCCTTCACTTGTGAAAATGGGGACGGAATGTCTGGAAGGTCATCTGAGATTGTTCAAAGGCAGTTTTATATCCACACAGAGCAGCCCCCAAGTGATGGCCTTGACTATCCCTATACCAGTTGAAGAAACTTGAGTGATATTTGCTGATGGCTTTATCTCCTTGGTCTTGGGCAGTCACATTCAGAACCTCCTCTTAGTCATCAGGGGGCAAAGTCATTCCTCCTAAGAGCAAGCTGTGATAACAAAGGGAGCTGGGGTCTGGGGTGGGTCTAGGCCCTTAAAAGGAAGCAACAGCACCCTCTGCCAGCTTTTTATTTGTAGCTGGAAGTCTTTAGGATATTATTTTAGAAGCTCATTAGTCACTTGCAAATCAGATATAAACCAAAACAAAACCTACCACACAGAGTTGGATTAACTGACCTACTAGATAGTACATGTAAAACTCTTGAGCCCTATGCCCACTATCAGGACAGGCTCAGCTGGCCCTCAAGAACAGATCTGCTGAGGGCCAAAACTGCAACACATGCCTTTAACCCCAGCACTAGGGAGGCAGAGGCAGGCTGACCCCCTGTGAGTTTGAGGCCATCCTGGTCTACAGGGCCAGTTCCAGGCCAGCCAGGGCTAAATAGTGAGACTGTCTCACATGTGTATAATCCCAGCACTCAACATTGAGGCAGGAGGACTGAGTTTGAGGCAATTTGGGCTACACAGTGAATTTAAAGCTAGTCTGGGCCACACACAGAGACCCTGACTCAAGAAACCAAATAAAACAGATTCTCTCTCTCTCTCTCTCTCTCTCTCTCTCACACACACACACACACACACACACACACACACAGAGCACAGCACAGATTTGACATGTGCCCAGGCTCCCTGCTGAGGACCCATGAAGATCTGTCTACAGTTTCATCTGGGCTCCTGTAGGGATGGATATCCCCATTTATCATCAGAGAAAGGATGAAGCAGGTGATCCTGGGGCAGAATCCTTGGAAAGAACTTCTAACTGGCTAAGATCGAAGACCTGTGGTTTCTCTGGATGATAAAGTGCATTCTGGGCACAGGGTCAGAGAAGGCAGAGGCCCCAGACTCAGTCATATTACTTTACAGAGCTGAGTTCCTGGGGTGACACAAACGCTGGAAGGGTTGAAAAGGGTTCTGCAGGATCCTTTCAGCAGAGAAAAGTGGTATCCCTGTCTTGACCAGTAGACTAGCCTGAGTATCACCACCAGTGGGGCAAACAGGCAGCATACCTACTGGTGTCACAGTACATATGACACTCTTCAGCAAACTCCTCAAACCTGAGCTCATTTGAGCCTTTAGACTAACCTCCAGCAGACAAAGGAACAAATCAGATGTAGGACTTCTCCGTAACAACTTGCCTGGACTTTTTTTTTTTAAAGTCAGAGTTAGCCTGGATCTGAAAAGTCCCTAAGGTTCGTGTGTCAAAGGCTTGTTCTCTCAAGTGTAGCTAAAGGGAGAGATGGTAGACTCTTTAAGAGGCTGGGTCTGGTGGGACGTCTTGGGGCACATGCCCGTGGAGCAGATACTGGAACCCTAGCCCTTTCTTATGCCTCTTTTCTAAAATCCCAGACATGAGGTGAGAGTTGTTCTCTGCCACCTATTCTGCTGGGATATGCTACTTCACCACAGGCCAAACACCATGGACCAAACACCTCCATAACAAGTGAGCCAAAATAAATCTGCTTTAAAAAAGATTTTACTTTTCATTTACGTGTCTTGTGTGTGTATGCCACATGTGTGTGGGTACCCCTGGAGGCCAGAAGCAAGCATCAGATCCCCTGGAGCTAGAGTTACAGGTGGTTGACACCTGATATGGATGCTTGGAACCGAACTTGGGTCCTACGGAAGAGCAATTAGCACTCTTAACTGCTGAGTCATCTCTCTAGCCCCCAAACCTACTTTCGTTATAAGTTGATTACTTTAGGTATGCATTAGAATTATGGAAAGTGGCCGGGCGTAGTGGCGCATGCCTTTAATTCCAGTACTCGGGAGGCAGAAGCAGGCAGATTTCTGTGAGTCCAAGGCTATTCTGGTCTACACAGTGAGTTCCAGGCCAGCTGGGGCTACAGGGAGACCCTGTCTCAAAAATAAAAAAGAAAGAATTATGGAAAGTAGACTACCACAAGGGGAGTGAGGGAGAAAATCCTAGAAGTTAAAGTGAGATAACCAAATGGAATATATTGACTTTAGGACCTGATTTAAAAAATCTGTAATCTAAGTACCATTTCTAGAAAACTCAAACATGACTGGATACTGGATATTAATATTTTCTTTTCAGATAGGGTCTCATGTGGTAGCCCAGGCTAACCTTAAACTCACTATGTACCTGAGGATGATCTTAAACTCCTGATCCTCCTGCCTCCAGCACCCAAGTGCTGGAATTTCATACAGGCATGCACCACCAACCCAGACCAGAACTGCGCTTTTTCTGCCAGAAAAAGCAACTGTAGTTATCCAGTCTTCTCTTATAGCGATGCAGGGTGCAGTTTTTTAAGGTGAAGGGTCTTGTTTCTGCAGATTCCTCTAGAAATATTTCTTTTTCTTCTTTTGGTCTTTTTGAGACAGGGTCTCCCTGTAGCCCCAGCTAGCCTGGAACTTGCTATGTAAACCAGGCTGGTCTTGAACTCACAGAGATCTACCTGCCTCTGCCTCCCGAGTGCTGGGATTAAAGGCATGCACCACCATGCCTGGCTTCTAAAAATATTTCTATAAATACACATAAATAAGGCCAGTGCCACATCAAGTTAACTGAACCTACTGAGTTGAATCTGTTGGTGACAGCACTGGCTATACCGGTATATGTATATATTCTTTCAATTTTTTTCTTTGCATACTTGCAAGTTCTGTTAATAAAACACTGGGAGAGATTTTAGAAATGATGCACCCCATGAACCCACATAGGCACTAACAACCAACTAGCCTCTCCACAATTCCAAATGACTCCATCAGGATGAAAGATGCTAAGATATGGTGGGAAATGAATATAAATTAAGGATTTATTACAAAATTCAAAATGTTAGCTTTTCACTGTCAGTGATTCAAGAAAACAAAGCCATGAGCCCTTGGTAGAGCTGGGACCAGGACACCCATGTGCAGGCTGGGGGTCGAAAGCCAGGCTCAGGAGCGGGCTGACAGACACTGATTGACAACCTCTAACAGGTGAGTATTCTCCAAGGCAGCTGCCACTCGCTCCTTATCCGCAAGCTGTTTGTTCACTAGGTGGGAAAGAAGATGGAAAAACAGGGTCAAAGTCAACTCTGGCCAGGCTGCTAGCCCCAGCATAGATTACATCCCCACTTCTTCTCAGGACTCTAAGACTTGATCAGACTATCCTCATCGCTTGTTATCCTGCGTTGTTAGGAATACTCAAGCATCCACCCCGGACAGTTCATGTCTGCCTCCAATATTCCTGAAGCCTGACACAATGACCTGTGACCTTGGGGAGTGTGGAGCAAAGTTCAGGGGAAGTAGGAGACTTAGGTCAGCAGCTTTGATCTAGGTTACAGTTTGACAATTTCATTCACCTAGTCTCCTAGTTCCAATCTTGCCCTATAAACTACCATGCCAAGGGGAAAGCCTCAGACAGCCTGGTACATCCTCCTCAGCACCAGCCCACACTAACCTGCATGCTCCGAGGCGTGGGTCCCAGGTGTAATGTGCACGTCCATCTGGGAGGAAGACAACCTGGCCTGAGCACCCACTCACCTGCCCATTTTTCTGTCCCGGCCCTCCAGACACCATCTCCACACCATCCTTCCAATCACTCTTCTATCTATCCCAAGCCCACCTGCAGTCACTCCACCTCTACCCAAGGAACTGCTGTTGATTTAAAGGCCTGCCAGTGCCCTGATCGAAGTCCATCTATGGCTCCCTATTGCCCTTTCTGCCACATGCCTCTTATTAGTATTTTCTAGTTTCCAGTTCAGATCTTTTTCCTTGTCACATCAACTTGTAGAGTTTCCTCCTAATTTATCTCTGGGAGTTAGGAGCCTTCCAGTCTCCACTTGGATATGGCCTCTCCTTGGTAGACCCTCCAAATTGTTTCACCTTTAGGCTCAATTCCAACTGACCTTGAAACGCTGGGGAAGGGAGCGAAGAAGCTTGACTTTGATAGACAGGCCAATAAGAGTGGCCATGCTGCAGTGTGGGATGGTGGGTGTGAAGGCCACTGCCACTGTGCTCTCAGGGTCACTAACCTGGATTGACGAGATTGCAAAGATCACACGGCTGCCCCCAGCCCAGAGACCCTCTCCTTATTTGTTGCTCTGGGTAGGTCGCCTAACCTTTTTAAAAAAATTAATTATTTTTATTTTATTTTTTTGGCCATTTTGAGACAGGGTCTCCCCAGCTGACCTGGAACTCACTTGGTAGACCAGGCTGGCCTCGAACTCACAGAGATCCACCTGTCTCTGCCTCCCAAGTGCTGGGACAAAGGCATGGGCTACGGCGCTCGGCTTTATTTTTATTTTATGTGTATGAGTGTATTGCCTGCATGCATAGAAATGCACCCGTGTTGTGCAATGCCCGTAGGATTCCCCTGGTAGTGGAGTTATGGACGGTTGTTAGCCACCATGTGAGTGCTGGGAATTGAACCCTGGTCCTCTGAAAGAGCAGCCAGTGCTCTTAATCGCTGAGCCATCTCTCCAGCCTCAGGTCACCTAACTTTTTAATGGGTTCCAGTTTCAACATCCATAAATTGGATCAATCTCCCCTCCCAAAGATCCCTCTAGGTGCCTGTGAAGGGAGAGAACGCCAGCCCCTGATGCAGTGAACTTTCCTTGTCCCCTATTCTGTTGCTGACTCACCTGAACCCGAACTTGCTCTACTACATTTAGTTCCTCCAGGGTCAGTGGATGCTCCGGGTCATTGATGGAGCGAATGAGATGTGCCAAGTGAAGGAAAAGGGACAGTTCAAAGTTCTGCCCACTCAAAACCTGCACCAGGCATGCCTAGCAGAGACACTCCTCCACCAGCTTGCTGCACTTCACTTTTCCAGGGTACCCCAGTCCCCCACCACCCAGCCAGCGCCCAGCACGGTGGATATCGAAGATCTCGCGGGCGTCGATGCTGTCGGGCACCTGCTCGTCTTCCTCGCCCGGGGTCACTGGCCGCTCCCCGGAGCGCTCGTAGATGAGAGGGTTGGCATTCTCCAAGAGCCCGCCGCTGCCGCCGCCGCCCACCATCCCGGAACCGCGGGTTCCACACACCTACTGTGGTGTATACTTCCGCTCCTACTGCGCACTTCCTGGGGACCGGGAGAGGGCGTGGCCGTAGCTACGGGGTCGCGCGAGGGACATGCAACGCTCCCGGGATTCAGTCGGTAGTTCGCGAGAAGCCGCGGTCTTTGTGTGCTGGCTACTCAGTGCTGGAGAAAAGTTGATTGCTGCCGCCAAGGCATGCAGAAGAGACTGGCGACTTTGGGCTGTGAGGTCCTCTGTGGGAACTGGAATGCAAAAGCCTAGCCATTTTGACAGAGGCACTACACCCTCTGAGATTGAACTCATCACCCCTGATAGATGAGGCTGACACTTGTTATATAATAGACAAAACCTGTTAAAATGGTTCTGTTTAAAGACTGGATACATCAATGCTTCAGCTTCAAATGGGAACTATCATGAAATGGTATGAGGAAATTATCCCACGCAGTAAAGTGACCCTTGTGACCAGAAGTGAAATATGAGTGCACACTGTTCATCTTAGGTAAATCCTGGTTGTTCACATAGGATCCTACCACCTTGATGGTTCCTGAGGAGCCAAGTCTCAGTGGGACAGAAGATGGGTCCCAACTCTGCCCTCTAATGCCTGTGATTCTGAACCCAAGAGTCCAAACCAAAGGTTCTTCTAAATAGGAGACAGGACTGGGTCAGGCAGATCTTCCTGACTGCCAAGGCTCTGGTGACTTCCCATAGCCTGTCAAAGCAGGCAAAGGAGGAAGTCTGGTAGGGAGGGGCTATGAGGTAAAGTAAGTGTCGCCTCCTCAGGGCAGATAGGATTCAGGTGGCCTGATGGGAGGTCACCAGGATCCACAGTAAGATACCTGGAGGTGAGAGACATCAAGGCCTGCACACATACCCTGGGCATGGTGCCATCCTGGCTCACCTACTGATAGGGCCTGCAAACTGCCTGGCAGATCCCCTTTGCCCTGGAAGCCAAGCCATGCTTTTGCCCCAGGTTCAGGTTGGGTGCATGGGGAATGGAACAGGAGGACTTCCCAGAGTAGCTGTAGGATATGGGGCTAGGGGCTTCTGTATCCCCTGGGCATGAAACCTTTCTGGAGGTCTTTCTCATTGACCAATGGTTGAGGGCACATTCAGAGCCAAATGACAGTGGCAAAGTATTATTATTACTGTTGCTGTTACCCTATGGTGAGTAGCACCTACAGCCACATTCATAGCCACTCACAGAGAATGAAAATGTCCCAAATCCCTGCCCTCTGCATAGAGATTTCTGACCTACAAATCCAGTGCTCCTTGGAGCCCCTCATACTGGATTGGATCCTTAATGTTGGGTATCCTCAGCCTTTTCTGACTTTATGCTACAGGAGGCCATGTATCTCTGAGCATTTTTGGAGAGATTGTTGGTGGGTGCACAGTTCTCCACACAGTCATCTGCCATGCCCACCAGCTCCTCTCTCTGTGGTGCTTCCCCACCCAAAGTCTCAGCCTCTGACTCTTCACAATTATGTAATTCTTACCCAAGTCCCTGACCCCTAAAGGGGGTCCCATCTTGTACTGGAAAAAGAAGAGGCAAGAGTCCACATGCTACAGCCCAGGAAGTCTGTCCAGCCATGGCATCTTCTATGGAGTCTGTCCAGCTATGGCATCTGCTATGGAGTGTGCTATTTCACAGGCAGGCAACAGCCTATCAGGGCCTCCCCCCAAAGTTTGGCCAGGACAGCCTATTGTGTAGGCAGGATATAGGTGGGCCTGGCAAAGGCTAATCCTACAGGAGAGCAAGCCAAGGTCACAGATTGCAGTGAGCCTTTTGGGCAACAGGGGCTAGCCTTCTCCAATGGGGCAATGTAAATACACAGCTCCTCTGAGACAGCAGGAACCCTTTCCCTGTCTTGAGTCACTGTGTTCACTGTCCTTGTAGTCACAGTACCACAGTACTTTGGTCTTGAAAACAACTACATAAACAAGCTCAGTGTGCTGAGGGTTTCCCCTTCTTCCTGAAAACGTCTTGCTTTTACAACTCATAGTTTATTTACCGGGTTTACCTTCAAGGTCCCTCATCCATTACAGTTCCTGGTCTGAGAGCCTGCACAGGCACCTTCTCTACTCTTTCTTGGCTCCACTTGTGAAATACATTCCTGAAAGTAGCACTTCTTAATGATCTCCATCCCCTGTGGGCCTTTCACTCTTCTCTCCAATGGAAGTCCAGTTCATAGTCACTTATCTATTCAACACACATTTAATTAGTGCAGGTCACTCCTGGACCTAGTATTCCTGGAGAGAGGCAGGTGCATCACTGGGAGATTCTGAAACACTCAGAACCCTGTGGAGATAGCAGGATTCGAATGGCACCCCCCCCCCGACCAGGCACCAGTGGCTGGTTTTCTTAGTGAGTTACATGAATAGAGATGCCATCTGGCAAGGCAACATGTAACCAGGGAAAGCAGTGTTTCTTTGGCCTTAGAAAGACATTGATTGCTCTCTTTGGCGCCTCTGAGTGACCGCTGTACTGGACTCATCTACACCAAGCAGCACCAAATGCTAATCCGCATTGATCAGGTTGGGGAGGAGAGTGAGAGGTCCACCAGGCTGATTTGGGGTTTTCCATTTTTCTTTTGGAAACAGGTCAGATCTGCCAAGTCTTCCATATCACAATGTGGTACCAGCAGGGTGAGATCTGATGGTAGTGACAAGCCCAGCAAAGGAAGGAGGCCTCTTTGGACACTCCCTGCATCCTCAGGTGTGGTGAGGACTGAGGCTGCCTATCTGGAGCAGAGGCACATTAACAATTCAGGTTGTACCACATGTTCTGTGCCACCAGGGTAGTATGGGAGAGGTTCTCTTTGGTTGTATTAACCAGGAAAAGACTTGGCCTAGCACCAGATACCTTAGCTCCATGAGGAAGGCATAAGTAGTCCCCCTTTGAGGAATCTACCCTCACAGTTACTGTGCCAAGCCACTGGGCCAAGAGTTACAACAAAGAACAAGTGTATGTACTTCCAAATGGAAAAATGGGAAAGATAAAAGTCTGGACTTGGGATAAGAGACCCTACTACCCTATACAAAGCTGACATTGATTCATTGATTCATTCCTATAACACTTTTTTTTACAAGGTCCCTTGAAGTCATATCTGGGCCAGGCTGCCTCCACCTCCCAAGGGCTAGGATTAAAGGGATGAACCCCATGCCCTATGTTCCTCAGTCACTTATAGGTGCTGTAGATATGGTGTATGGGGAGAAGTGGTGAATGTCACCACATACAGCCAATAGTCTTCATAGAGATACAGAGGAGGCATGGCTTCCTATCCTCAGGAGGAGTGGGATGCAAGCCCCCCCCCACCACCTGGAGGCTTCTCTGGATGTTTGGGCTCTGTCCAAGCCTCCCTAGAGCCTATGGCCTATATCTTGGTGAGAAGGGACTTCAGAGAAATGTTGTGTATTAGCAGGGTATCGTGGGGAGCGGGGACTGAGAGTGGCTGGGAACAAAATGGAGCACAGCACAGAGATGATGAGATTTCTGAGGTTCTGCAACAATAGAGATAACTTCCATATATCCTGCTCAGAAAGCAGTCTGCAGGAATAAAGCCTGGGCTAAGTGTTCCTCGGTGAGATTATTTGAAGCTTTGCCCTCACGCCCTTTGACTTACCCTTTCCAGGCCCCATCTTCCCACCTGATGCTGCTACCTCTTGCTCTGGAGCCTGCCTAACCTCATTCTTCCTGATCTCCTTGGGGTAGATGTCTGCTGAGTGTGGGGACCTGCTGATGGCAGAGTACATGGGAGACATTGAAGACCCCAGTACTCTCCAACTACAGTTCCAAGAGATGATGGGGGACTTCATGTTCATGACCCCTGCCCTGAAAGTAACACATTTTCAGAGTGCAAAGTGACCTCAGGGCTGGGGCTCTAGCTCAGTGATACTGTACTTGCCTCACATGCATGATGCCATAGGTTTGATCTCAAGTACTGTCCCCACCCCCCAAAAAGAGGCCTGATTCCTAGGAGGAAACTCACAGCTGTGGGTCCTGGGTGAGTTGTGTAGTGTCAAGGACATCACTTACACCTTTATTTAGTCTCTGGTACCAGGTCTCTGAGAGCTCTCGACTCAGTAAATCCTCATGTCTAGTGGAAGAGAGGGACATCTTATCCAGGTCAGATGAAGAAATTATGCTCTATGACTTGCCCAAACTACTCAGGTGAGAAGGCCACGGTCATGATTTAACCAAGGCCTTTCCAAAGACTCATGCTCTATCCTTGGCTCTGCACCTTCCCCATACCCCCAACTGTTGTGATCCCAGTCAACTTTAGACCAACACATCTTTTAAAAATATTTTATTTATTATTTTATTTTATGTGGATGAGTGTATTGCCTGCATGTATGTGAGTGCACCTATGACTAATGCCGCGGGGTTAGAAGAGGGCTTCAGATTCCCCTGGAACTGGAGTTAAGGACGGTTCATGTGAGTGCTGGGAATTGAACCTGGGTCCTCTGCAAGAGCATTCAGTGCTCTTAACCGCCGAGCCATCTCTCCAGCCCCTAGACCAACACATCTTTACCCAGCAATTGAGGCAGGATGGCTCTGGGTGAGAGGCCAGTATGTCACCATGTGTCCACCTCCATAGGTGCCTAAATCCCTGATTTCTGAGTTTCAGCATCTGCCCGACCTCTTCAAAGATGTCAGGCTATTCCATGTGAAGGCTGACCATAGTGATGAGTTCCTCTTTGTCTTCAGATCCTTCTTCTGAGGCAGCTGTGAGTCTTCCTTGTTTTCTCTGATCTAGATGGGAATTCAGTTGAGAACCTGAGAGATGACTGATGTCACTGTCCAGTTGAAGTTCCTTGGAAATCCTCTTAGAGCTTGAAAACGCAGGGTTAATTTTTTTTTTTTTGGTCTTTTTGAGACAGGATCTCCCTGTAGCCCCAGCTGGCCTGGAACTCACTATGTAGACCAGGCTGGCCTTGAACCCACAGAGATTTGCCTGCCTCTGCTTCCTGAGTGCTGGATTAAAGGTGTACACCAACATGTTTAGCCCAGGGTTAAAATTTGAACCCTTCCTATTCTAGACTA